AGGTGGCACAGAAGTTAGCGTGTCAGCGCCAAAAATTTAGGGCGTTACTAGGTCTAGAATGTACTGCATTTTGTGCAGGGGCAGAATAGCAGTCTCAAGATCCTGGCAAAACCTAAGGAGAGTTGAGAGGGGCTTAAAAGTTATCCCGGTCTTGTCAGTAGACCAGCGATGGGCAGAGAGCTTTTACTCTGCATGCGCCTATAAAAAAATGTATAGAAAGCTTAAAAGAGGTTTGCCCGCGGGCAAGGCAGTGCCCAGCAGCTGCGAGTCTGGAGGCGACCAAAGAAAGGCTCAATTTTCGCTTTGGTCCGATCACACTCCTGCTAAAAGTGGCAGGTGTCAATACTGATGAGGTGGCCAAATAAATGGAAGTGGTAGGACTCATGACGAACACATGATGTAGTGCTTACAGGCAAATATGTATCATTCAAAAGCAGCAACGGCAGAGCTTAGCAGGAGGTTTCCCGGTGATAATATTCACATTGGGCTCTTATAAGAGCTCTTGATCAACAAAGCCAAATTCAGAGACTCTGGATCCAGCGACTTGCGTGTCTAACTATAACAGGGGCAATAAAAGCAACACCCACTGCAGGTATGGTGAATAACTCAGTGAGAGGGGAGAGCACTATGTTTGCATATATGTATTTATGTACATACAAAAAAATTATTCGAACAAAAATGGTGTGCAGGCACTGTGGCCTATGGAAAACGTCTATTACCACCCCTGCATGATTGTAAGTAATGCAGAGTCCGCAGAAGACTCCGGAAGCATTGTCCGGAGGATGCATCAGACTAGGCCGAGCATATTTGAAGTATCATCAACTTATAATATATTAAAGTTTTATTCATGGTAGTTGAGAAGAGCATGCGCAAAAATTTCATAAATTTATTGAAAGAAATTTTTGTACATGCAGCAGTTCATAGCATGCATTTAGACGCTTGGTGTAAGCATTCGCGCCTAAACATATGGCAATAGAAAAGGAAGCAGCAACGCAAGCACTCATGCTCCATAAGAAAAGTAAATTCAAACCTCAGCTTTGTGAAGACGTACAGAATAATATTTCCTACTCGTGAAGATTGGAGAAGAAACCCCACGTGCCTTTATGAGGGTTCACAAAAATGGTATACTGATGGTTCAAAAACACCTTACCGTGTATTTAGGAACGAGTGTTGTTGGACGACGATGCCGCATATTTTGTCTCTGAAGCTAAGACGCAATGATAATCCAGACGGAACTAGCTGTCATACTTGAGACCGCCGTCGTCTCATTAATCAGGCAATATGCCAGAATAAAGGCCTGTTCTCATCAAAAACCATTACAAAATGCGAGCACTCAATGATATAGCAACCCATAATAGTGTCTTCTTAATCTGTGTGCCAGGTCATAAGGGATATGATGGTAAAGAAAAAGCGGTATTCCAAGCTAAAACAGGGACAGCCACAACATTTGTGGGTCCCGCCTATTTCTTCAAGGTAACGATGAGCTGTATGAGCTTTACAACGGTGTAGACTTAATGCGGCGAATTAAAATACAGCGTATGCGCTGGCTTGGTCATATCATACAAATGGGCAGAAGATGGTGAAAGAAAACGTAAAAACCGAGCGATAATATGCAACGCGGCTCGTTGTGCCGGCAACAGAGGTAGAGGAAAGCCTTCTCTGTCATGGAAATACCAGGTGGAAACGGACTTGGCATTTCTAATTGGCGTCGTGCGGTACTGAATTTACAGTTACCGCGTTAAACAAGACACCGCGTTTTGAGACATTTTGATATTTGGACTTTTGTCAACACCAGCCTTGAAATCAGGGATGCCGTTTGGATCTAAATAGATCCAATTGGATACATTTTTAGACGAATTTTTTCCGGTCAGTATAAATGTGGATACTTTTTTAAATAGGCCAATATATACATATTTCCTATAAAGTTTTTTTCGTTCAAAAATCGATTATCATTAAAGATGGTAGAAAGCATTACGTTTTCTAAACGTATAAAGAATCGCTACTTAAGCGTGAAATTAAAGCATTTTATTTTTTGTGAACGATGCAATGAACATATGAAGAGATCTCACCAAAATAGGTATAAGCGCAATTGCTTTAATTAGCTTAAAAGGATACTTTACGCAAGATCTTAATATACATATCGTGGTTTAAAGTACAAAACCGCGTATCAACAAATTGCAAAACCGCGTATCAAGATAATGCAAAACCGCGTATGTGACGTTGCATAAGTTATTTTCTAGAGAGTAAAAACACTTATATTTCAAAATGGATCTCTTTTTTATAAAGCAATCGCATTTCTGGCTAGTATATTTCAGGACGAATGGATATGGATGGAGCCAAGAGCTTGTGTGAGCAAATCCAATTTTCGGCAGCAAATGTCAGTTACGCGGTTTTGCAGAATGACGATACGCAGTTTTGTACTCTAAGCGACGATATATATAAAGTAAATTATACTCTTTCTGTAGTAATCTCTTTCATATCACATATTTTCATTTGTTAATTTAAAAAGAAAGAAGATTTCAATGTAGTTTAAAAAACTAAATTTGATTTATTTAAGGAAACTTTTATGAATTTTACTGAAAAGACTTTAAATACACTCTAAAAAAATTTTGTTTATTTGCGCATATTGAGAGAAGTAACCAGTTTCCTCTTTTAATGTGTGCAAATTTGCATGCGGTGTAATAAAATTAATCATTGCCTGTTTACTTTTACATAACGAATTTGTCGGAAGAGCAAAATTACACATAAAATGTTTAAAATAAAGTAATGTTTATTATTAGTAGGAAATGTATTTGTAGTTTGAAAATTTTTTCAATTTTAAACATTATATATATGTGTATTTATGTATATATTTTAAAGATCTCAAGTTCAAAATCAAATACTGAACATCTTATACGTATATTTATACAGATTCTTGTTGAAAAATAGATACTTTTCAGTAGAAGTTTTACATGCTCTTTTTAGAGTGTACTTGCTAGTTATTATATTTACTTTGCAAAATACTTATGCACAAAAAATGTACTTTATAAATTGAAATTACAAATGTTTGATTTTATGCACATGTATTCCAAGTCCTTAGGATGGGTTAAATTATGTCTTTTTCATGAAAATATTTGGTTTTCTTACAAATTGTGAGATGTACATGTTAAAAAAGAAAATTGGATATATTTGGATACATTTTTGGCTTGGTCAGGGATACATTTTCTTGAGACGGCGCGGCAACACTGCTTGAAATACATCAAATAGGTATTATATGGGGTTTTACTGCACAACTTACCTTGGTAAGGATATTTTGCGCGCTTCATGTGTTAATCGTCGTCTTTTCATTTCTGCTGGTGAACTTCAATAAATTGTATAAAAATAATTACATTATAATTACATTATTTTCATCGATGCTACAATAAATTCATCCCTTTACGATAATAGTGTCGAGCCCCCCTAAATTCCATTCTGGCTACGCGCACGCTGGGAACGGTTTAAAGCATGTAGCCTCCCTTGCGTTTCCTATTCTCTCGAGTTGAGGAAACGGAAAGTGTGTCAGGTGGACTTATCTGCGCATATGCGTTTTATCGCCCCCACTACGACAACTCGATGCACAAAGAAATTTCTGGGGGTCACTGCTTCGACAATTAAGGGGAAGCTGCATTTGAGAGGCAATTAAGATTTGGACTGACATCTAGGTGAGTAGTTTTCATGGAAACTAGCCAAGCAAAAAAATTCCTGTTTATTTTATTTTTTTTCATCGGAACCAGGCACAAAACAACGCATGCAGAAAACAGAACCTTACCCTTTAACCTATTATAAATCTGCACAATTTACGAAAAAAACCCAAACAGGTTTGCAGTCAAAAAGCTCAAGTGTTCGTCTCTCAAAACATTGCGGCCAAATGCTTCATACCTAGTTCTTGCAAAGACGGGGAAGCACAAAAAGTGTTTCACCGTCTCATCCTTTTCAAGGCTCGACGGGCAAGTGGAGTACGGTTGAATGACATGACTTTTGCCTACCTGCAGCCCCTCAACGCCTCCCAGTCATTTCTGGGCGAAGTATTCACCCATTTTCTGAAGGTTGCTTTGATAGCCGAAGCAAGGAGTGCAATAACTGGTTGCGGACCAATAAATGCCTAGTCTGAGCCAACTTTGGCCAAATGAAGAGATGTCTCATTACCATGTTCTCCCGAGTGACCTGGAACCCAGAGTAAAGCAAGCACGCTATGTTCACTAACATTATTTAGTCGATACTTGCATTTCCGAGCTAGTTTGGAATTAGTTAGAGGTCTGATCAACGCCTTAAGTGCAGCTTGGCTATCACTGCAGGTACGTATACTCCTTCCCCTCCTCTATTTTCCACCACGTAGCCCATGGCCTTGAGGATTGATTGTACCAAATTACCATTAGCTTGGATAAAAATGCCAGATACTGATCCGGAGTGAGTTTTGGAGCCCTCTGTGGAAATTCGACAATGTGGGAGCCCGTGTTCAGTGCTGGTGTTAAACCAGCATTCAGTCTCAGGGAACTCGAGATTATAAATACTCTTCAACAAAAGTAATGGTGGCGTACTATCTGTGGCATTGAAAAGACACAAGAAGACACAAGTACATAGATCTCTGTCGCCAGCTATTTCCGCCTCGCCACACTCAGTGTTTTATCAATACGTTTCCCTTTTTTTTAGTGTCCATGTGACTTTTAAGGCCTGTCCTTTTTATTACTGACACTAGTTGCATAATTCCAAATTCCATTTTTTGTTAGCTTGGCGACTATGATGCGGAAATAAATGGCTTTAGATGTAGTTCGATTTTTCTGTTATTCATTTATTACATACTATTTATTTACATACACTTGTGTTTACATCGTTTCTATTTAAAATAATTAATTTTCTTCTACACTTTAGAACTGCGATTACAGTTGGTTTATAGAGATGTATGTACATATGACAATATACTGTTTTCTTACATTGAAACATATATAAACATACATAGATACATTCATTTATGAATGTATGTATGTATATAAACTTTCTTTTATTTTAAAAAGTTTAAGTTTGTTTTTCGATTTATGGCAAAGCACCTACAATGTACAAATAATTTTGGTCGCCCTTAAGGGACATTTAAACAGTTACTAATTAAATTTATTTCACTGAGTACTACAATTGCGGAAAGTTGTTGAATTTACAAATAAAGCAATCTTATCTAATGTATGGGTGCATTATAACAGCAAACAATCAATTTTGGTGTCAAGCAGCTTTTGATTTGAGCTACATTTCCTTCTGGTATAAGCGGCTCTCAAGCATATTATTTTCTATTCGTGCTGCTGACAACAAAGCGCAAGTAACTCCTATTTAGCAGCTGAGATGTCAGGTGCCAGCTAAACATTCACCTGCTCTTCCCACTACTAATCGCGTTAGCTGCGGGGCCAACTGCAGCGGTGGAGAAGGCGTGCGGTAGCTTCAATATCGACTTGGTTAGGAGCGACTGACTTTTGGTCAACACTTCATCCTTCTCGTGCGCCAACTTCGATTGCCCGACGGTTGAGCTGACAGTTAAGGTAGTGGTTGGTGGCATTTTGGGAGTTGTTGCTGGTGTATCAAACCATTTTCCGGCTTCTGTAGATTTTTTGTCGAACGGTCGGAAAGCAGTGGGTGCCTCAATGTGGGGCAGCTGTTGGGTGCGTATGAACTGCTCTTGATTAAATACGGATTTGTAAGGTTTATCGATGGGTGGTGCCAATGCAAAGAGTGGATGCTGTAATGAGAAGGTGTGAAATGCGGAGATGTGAGGATGGTTGTAATCACTATGAAATGCAATAAAACTACAAATGAGCGGTGGAAAATGCGAATGTATCCGCAAATTTTGAGGCCTACACAAATTTTGCGTAGATATGATATTATTGGATTTGTGAGCAAAATTCTTAACTACTTAAATAGTAACTTTGCCTTGACGGAATAATATTTTTTTTTTTAACTAATCAAACTTAGCACGAGCTACGTTCAATATCCTATATCAGCAGGTTAATTGCTAAGAGACATATAAGTACTTTTGTTCATTTGCCAAAAAATGCCCTTGTAATTTTTATTCCACATAAAAACAAAACCAAATACTTTGTAATTAAGACTAACTCTATTTACTTATAATAATATATTCTTACATAGTTTTGTGGCACGTATTTCACCTTCTCGTATACTTTGTACTTTTTCGTCTTTTCATTATATTTGCCATGTAATTTGTTGTCGACGCTAAAGTAGTTATTGCCACCGTTGTTGCGATTAAATTGATTGTTGTTGCTTGTTGGCGCCACCACCGCAGTGTACCTAATGCCCACATTGGGTATATATTTCGCTGCCAAGCTCCCTCCTCCTACATTCGTATTGACCTCTTGGTAGAATGCATTCACATTGGAGGGCAGTAAAAGGTTACCGTAGTAGTGCAATGGCCTTTGCCCTGAGTTGGCAAAGTTATTGCCAGTTGTTCGTGGACGAGATGGTGGTGGTAAAATATAGCTGAAAAAAAAAGTTTCAACAAAGTTAATAAATGTATTTGCACTTTAAAGGTTAATAAAAATTTATTGTAGCTAATAATAATTATAAGTTAACGAATTTAATGTTTTTTTTACTATTTTCAATCGTTCACTAAAGTATTAGATTATTTGGTTCCGTTTAATTGTCAACGTTCAATGTGAATAGGGGACTAAACAAAGGAAATGAATCTACGTACATATAATAAAATTGTAAGAGACCGATGTCTGTACATTATTGATATTAAAGAAACATTAATGTTGGTAGTCTTTAATAGAGGAATAGAAGCAAAATCGACAATTTTTAGAATTTTTGTATGTCTAAAACTTAGCCTTGAAATTGAATGCACTTTTCACCGATGTACTGGTAGAGGTTCAACTTAAAATATAGAAAGAAATTAAAGAGTTGCCACTTGTTTCAAAATTGCAGTTTAAGTAAATTGATAAGATAAATTAAATATTGCAATATGACTGACAAAAGATATAGTTTAAGAAGGCTTTTAGCCGAAAATATTTTTGTGGAGGTTGCCACATATTTGAAAATGTTAATTCATTTTAATTGATAAGATAAATTAAATATGGCAATATGGACATCAAACTGAGAGATTTAGAAAATGTTACTTCCGAAATTACTTTTGAGGAGGGTCGCCACCTGTATTTAATTAAATTGACAAAATAGATGAAATCTTACAAAAATGTTTTTAAGGCGCAGTGAAGCACCCGCGTAACTTGACTTTTCAAACATACATATATTTATATGCAAAGTAAATAATGTTTTTTGTCAGCTAAAAAGCTTAGACAAGAAACAAGTAAACTTGAATTCTTTAAAAATCAATTATTTATGTCAATAAAAAACATCGAACTTTCACATTTAATAGCTTCTCAGATGCAATCGGGTAGCCAGAGGGTGGAAGTGGAATATTTGTATACTAAATATACATACTTAGATACTCTTTACATCATCTATATGCACTACATATGTCAGCTTTAAAATAAATTATTAATTAACAGAAAAATGCTGCTCATATTTCTTCGCTCATGTTCTCCGCTAATTTAATCTCCAGGTTGATAATATTTTTGGCTGGTTAATAGGTAGGTAAAGTCTTTCGCAACTTCAAAGTTTTGACTGCCATTTATGTTTATCCCAATATGCGAAGGCTATTTGTGTGTTGCCAGGAGTTACTTTGTCTTATCCACGTCACCGCCAGATCGACCTCTTTTGTTTTCTTCCCCTAAGCATAGCAGATAAACTCTTTTGTAAAAAAATCAACATTTAAAACAAAAAACTTTAAAAATATATTTTTGCGGTTCTTGCGTCATGACATCCATTTCCATGGACCCAAGACCAAAAAAGTTTATTTTAAAATTTTATTAAACTATTTATTATTTATTTTATTTATTCTTTGTGTGCTGTTTTAGGTCAAAAAGAAGAAGCATATATTATGAACTTAAAAAAATATATGGTATATTTTCAACACGAATATATGTTAAAAACTTTTTTTACCTTTGAGCCAGTTTTAATTCTTTTTCTGTTTTTTTCTTTTTAAATAATTTTAAGTTACTAAATATAAAACAATATGTTTGAAAAAAAAGAAAAATATTTTTTCGAGAGGCTAATTTAAGTTTTTGCACTTTCAGAGGACGCCATATGGAACCATAAGTTGTAGGTTTCACTTTACATGCCACTAGTTGTTGTAATATATATGTATGTAGGTATTTAAATTGCTGCCACAAAAAGAATAACCTAATTCGGTTAAGATTTGAGGAGCAGGCAGATAGCTACACAGGGTTATTTAACACCACCTTTTGAAGAAAAATTTTGTTTATGCGATGGGGAGAACCGCATAAAAAAGTCTCACTTAAAAAAAATTAAAAGCGTTGTGCAAGAGCGGGAAAGAGTTTTCCAAACTAAATAAACGATTAATTTATGCATTGAAAGGTAAAAAACAAAATATATTTTAAACAAGATTTTAACATAAAAAATTCCATTCAACAATTTAAATGAGCTTGAGGCCATTTCTTATGAAAAGTGTTGGGGAAGACAACAATTATTTACATTTGACAGAAGTTATAGCTGCTATTTCGTAGATTACCACAGCTCAATAAAATTGTTGAAAATGATTGTTATAAGGCCATAAATAACAAAAAAAAAATATAAGTAATAAAAAACTCAATCATAAAATACAAAAAAAGCCTTACAAAAAGCGATGGGTCAATAAAAAAAAAAAATCTTATTTAAAATACCAATTTACTCTAAAAGCTTCGCACTTCGAAGGTCAATAATTTATTAAACTTGTTATGTACAATATATGTTGAAATTGGCTGATGCAATACAAATGTATGTACAAAGACTCCAATGAAAACAAAAAACGATGCCAGCACGGTTTAAATTTACCTAAGGTTTGGATATTCATATACCGTACAAAAGGAGGATTGCACAAAACAAAACGCGTTAACAACTGGCTGTACCTTCATTGACATCCTTGGTACAATTGTACGACAAGCATTTAGGATGTTTTTTGGCCTTTTTTCCTTAGTTTTGTTTGTTTGTTTTTTTTTTTTTTTGTATTTGACTGAAGAAGAGCTAAAATGGGTCATTGTACAGTATACGCTCGTACATTCAGATACTTGAAAAACACAAAGTGTCCAATATAGCAAATTGTTCAGATTACTAACTAAAAAACTGCAATAAATCCGAAGCTCAGAAGTAAATAAAAATATTTTGGTGTGCGAAGCAACTGCGAAATTTCGATTAGAAAAGCTAATTTATGCAGGAAACCCCCAAGGAGCTCAGCAGCAAACAAATGTTGAATAAAATTGTGTGCAAAGTTTAGTTCTTAGGTATTATAACACCAGCAGAATGTTTGTGGATGATAATTTCTTTGCGACACTTTCTCTTTGAAAAGACTTTATGTTTAATAGCATCGATACCTGAGTGGAAGGTCGACCTATCTCGGCAGCCAGTTCGAAAACACCCCATCTCAGAAAACTTTTCAAGAACGTCCTACATCAGAATTTGGTTGAAGAACGTCCTATCCCAGCTTCCAATTCAAAAATGCCTTATCTCAGCACATTTTCAATGTATTTTCGTTTGAGATAGGGCTTTTTTGAACCGAATTCGGGCGTTCTTCAGCCAAATTCTGAGATAGCCAAATTGTGAGATAGGGTGTTTTTCAATAAAGTTCTGAAGTAGGTCGTCTTTGAAAATTTTTCTGAGATAGGGCGTTTTCGAACTGGCTGCCGATACAGAGGAGGGGCGATGGGGGGGCTCGAAAAAGTAAACTTTCTATTAAAATATATTACCTCAAACGAAAAATTTGAAAACAATTTTTTTATAAAGTTTTTTTTTTTTTTTTAATCTTCAATCAGAATCCCTTTTTTAGGCTGGATAGGTCGATCTCCCACTCGGGTGACGATATATAGTTACGGTGACCATCCGTCCTATATTATACGGGACGGCCCTTTTTTTTTGTCTAATATTCTGTCACTTTATTTATTAAATTCGGGGCTCCAAATGTTCTGTATTTCTTTTAATGTCCCTTACTTGTACCATATTCGATATTTTGATGCCTTAAAAGCTCTTAAAAATGGCATGCCAATGAACTAGTTTTTATTCTTAAATCTGGACGCTTGTGATGGAGCACATATGTATGGAGATGGTTTCTGAAGTTATAATTTTGCGTAGAAAAACTGGACATTTGTGGGTTTGAATAGAAATTGGACTATCGTGATTATTGATTATTGATTTCTAAAAGAAATTTCACTAGTAGCTTTTCATTTCCTTTTTTTTATTTAACTTTTTTCGAGAAGTTCGTCTTTGAATTGACATTTCTTTAAGATCGAAGGGAAGTTGGTCCCTTCCAATGCACGCTTTGCAGCTCAGCTACTTCCGGATGCTATACACTGCATTTTGCTTGGTCGAAATCTGAGTCTGAAGATAATCCGTTGAAAAAAACTTCTACATTAAAAGTAGTCCGATACATTTATAATTTTTTCGTTTTTAACTCATGCTCAAACAATTACTAGAAATATACATAGAATCTTTATTGGCTAAAATTTTCCGGGACGAAACTTTTTGTTGCACAGTGTAATAGACATATATATAAAAAGAGTGGGAGAAAGGATCTCGTAGAAGGGTAAAACATGTTACATACATATGTCTTTTATAGCAGTCAGAGTGCTTGTGTCAATTCACCTAATCAAGTTCGTGTCTTAAGTCTTTCATTTTCATTACTTACGTGTATGGATTCGGATTCGGTATGTCATTGCTTTGGTCCTCCCAAACCGGCGCCGGTTCGCGAAATGGTGGCAAAGGACGTACTGTAGTGGTTGGTATTGACGGTAAAATGGGTCCTTTATTTGTATTGAAATATACACGTATCGCCGAGGAAAGAGAAATGAAGCATATGACTAGCGGGAATGTGGTTTGTGAAAACTACAAAGAAATAAATAAGACACATTAAATAATCTATGAACTTACTAAATTTCTAACGTATACACTTGTACAAAAATGTGTACATATATATTAATAAAATTAAACCATAAATAATAATCGAATTGAGATAAAATTCCTGAAAACCCAACAACGTAAAGGAAATAAAAAATAATAATCCACTTCGAGGGACCTTCAGCTTTATAAAAATTGGTACACCACTAAGGGGGAAGAAAGTAGGTGGTGCAAGTAGTGAATAATTACGAATAAATGTTAACTAGTTTTATTAAATGCGTTTTTCCTTCATTATTGAATAGAATACTTCTTCATAAAATGTATATAAATTCTCAAAAAATTTCTTACTAGTCTCAGTCATTTACTAGTTGCTTAGTTAGTAGCTGAACAAAAAAGAAAATATCTAAATGCGAAGAAATCGCTAATAATAAGTGTTCACTAACAAAATTCAAATGCAACCATTCTTACGGCAGCCACTCGTTCTGTTAATTTACAAATACATATATATATATATGAAGTTGAATATGTATGCATAGAAATGTAAGTACACCGTTTAAAAAACCGCAACGCATTCCACAGCGCATTTATGGAATTGACACCTTTTTCTAAGCTCCTGCTGTTCAGCTTAATTAATCTCAACTAATAAAAAAAGCATCTTGAAGAAGTAGGCACAAAACAGAAAATATGCAATTTATTGCGCTCATAGAATCAGAAATGGTTGTCAATTAAAAATTCCTTTTAAAGTCTAGCGTTAATTGCTAAAAATACTGAATTTTTACAAAGCAATAGTGTGTAAAGATTCCACTATGCGAAATGTGATTGTACGTTCATGAATTAAAAAAAACAAAAACAAGCTACTGTGTCATGATATAAGCTAAAGGACATAAGCACTAGACGACACGCTGAACTTGACATTAAATGCCGGCTGCCAACTGTCACAGTTGGTGAGGTGTAATTATTTACTACTATACCTAGAAGGAATTTAATTTAGAAAGCAGAAACAAATTTAATTATAGATGTGCATAGGTATTTAACTATGTACATATGTATATTCGAACGTAAAATGTTTAGATACATTTATGTATATGGGACGTTCCATACCCAAAACGGCCGGGGTTCACACTTCATTTGTTTGATTTGTTTAACATTTTTAGGGGTGATGCTTAAACATAAATAATAAATAAATGTGAATTTGAGCTAGATTAATACATTTTTAATAACTTTACAGCACAAAAACCAAACCAAATAGATTTAATAGTTTTCCACATATCTCGACAACGGGGCGAGGAAAAAACTTGAAAAAAAATCACACATACACATATCAAAATTCCCTAACAAAATAAATATTTTTAAGATTTTTTCACATACACGTTTTTATCCGTTACGTTTTTTGATAAAAAAAAATAGTTTTTGGGAATATGTCATCTCAAAAAAAATTTAGAAAATCACAATGGTAGCTCTAAGTGTTGCGCAATATTTAGGCATAGTATTATGGGGTGACCTCGACAATAATTTGGGTTATGCATTTTTTTTTACACCGAAGTTGAGTAAAAAAAATTTTTTAAATTTGTAAATTTGTAATGTACTCATTTTAGTCAACTTTGGTGTAAAAAAAAATCATAACTCAGAGCTACTATTGTGATTTTTTTCAATTTGTTCTGAGATGGCATATTTTCAAAAACAATTTTTTTTAGCAAAAAATGTGTATGTGAAAAATTTTTCACGAAAAATAATCTTAAAAATATTTCTTTTCATAGAGAATTTTGATGTTTGTATGTGTGATTTTCTTTTCAATTTTTTTTTTCGCCCAGTTCTCGAGATATTTTGAAAACTATTAAATCTCTTTGTTTTGGTTTTTGTGCTGTATAATTTTTAAAAATGTATTAATCAAGCTTATATTTCATATTTATTTATTTTTTATGTTTATGCATCAAGCTTAAAAATTTGAAACAAATCATACACATAAAGTGTTAGCCCCGTCCGTTTTGGCATGGAACGTCCCATATACAGTCTTAGTTTTAGAACGAGTAGCGCCGCAATTCAATAAATTATGATTTTCTGATGCCATAAATAATTGTGAATCACTAAAAAAAAACTCAGCTATAAACATACATGTATGCTTATGCATTTATTTATATTTATACTTATCTGCTTATGCTAATAAAGAACACTCAACGTAATTTGTTGTAATTTGTCATAAATCATTTATTCTTACCAGTAAGTTTACCGAATGGAAAAAAATTTTAAGTAAAATATATTTTGTCTTTATTTGTAAAGGTAATTAAGTGGAAAATAATTGCAACAACAGGGCGTCTACAAGTTGATACGCCTTTTAGGTAAGAAGTCATGCATTTATTCGAATTGCAGTCACCGCAGGCCAAGTGTTAATTTATTCACAATGCTTCACGGCTGATCGCTTCATTGGCAGTGCTCAACAGCGGTTAACATGAGTAATGGCATCGTCGTTTTTCAGATGCGACCAAAATTAAAAAAAATTTAAACGAAAACACAGCAGGAGGAAGAAAAATGCTTTAGTTCTTATTGCTCACAAGCAATTTTAATAATATCTTCAAAGTTAAAGTTTAAATATTTTTAGTATTTTTGAGAATATTTACTAGGAGGGTGTTAAAAAGTAAAGTCGGAGTTTTGATGCTCTCACCCACTAGGATTGTTCAATATGGAAAAAGTATGCCCCTATTTTTTTTTACTATAAAATCAAAAAAAGGTTTTCAACGTGTTTCTACGAAAAGTTGTTTTTTCGCCATATGGACACCAGAGTGGAATATCGACCTATCTCGGCAGCCTGTCTGAAAATTCAATCAAAATCAATCAAATTCTGATATAGGGCGTTCTTGAAAAGTTTTCTGAGATACAGCGTTTTCGAACAGGCTGCCGAGATAGGTCGATATTCCACTCTGGTGTCCATATGGCGAAAAAACAACTTTTCGTAGAAATGGTATATAACTCTTAAAAATCAATAATTTCCGATAAGAAAACTCTTGTTATCTTCAGGAGGCTTACATATCAATACCCAATTGTTTACTTAAAAAATTTTTCATACCAACCCGCCAGAGACTCTGTGATCAATTGGATATATTAGAACAAGAACTATTGCATTATGAAAAAATATTTGTAAGTAAAGCAAGTGTAAAGTAGTAATAATCGCGTGCATAGTACCGAAAAAAAAGATTTCGTTTTTCGTCTCTACTTAAATCTAGAAAATCAGATGAAGTCAATAACCCTTAGACGCCATACGTTATAAGGTATTCCACTATCGTAAGCTTTGTTTTAGATCAGGAGATTGCCCATAAAGTTGAGGAATAGAAGTGAACTCGCATAACGCATCAAGGCTTGGAGTTTAAAAAGGCCAGTAAGGCTGCTTGCTAGTCTGAAGAGATACAGGCAGGGCCATAGAGAGGAAATCCGGGCCCGGGGGGAATCTCGCTATTGCGCCCCAATCAAGGTCCAGGGATGGTATTTTCAGAGATAATAGTCGAGAGTTCTAGCTTTATTTTAAGCTCAAAAATAGACAACCCAACGTTTTCAAATTCTATAGGCTTTATGCTTTCGATTGGTTTTTGTTTATGTAATTTGCTCATAGGGACCGTAACAGTACCAACTTTTATTAACAAAATCGCTCTTTAACAATTATTTTTTGACTTTTATTTCTTTGCTTCTTAAATAACCGTTATTTCTGACTTTTATTTTATAAATCTCAAATATCAATTGTTTTTGATTTTTATCTAAATAATCTGCAAATAACAGTTATTTTTGATTTTCGTATTATATGTCTTGATAGCAGTTATCGAGGACCTTTATTTATAAAAGTCATAAATAAAAATCAGACACTGACCTTTATTTTTTAAATCATATTTATAAAAGTATTTGTATAAGTCATAGTGAACTTTTATTTCCCAACACCTTCTTAACTCCGAAATGTTAATGACTTTTATACGAGTGATTTAAAATATAAAAGTCGGTGATTGATTTATATTGATGGCTTTTAAAAGTAAAAGTCACAGGCTGATTTTTATTGATGACTTTTATTAATAAATGTCTTCATAACTGATATCTAAGACATAATTAAAAATGATTGTTATTTTGGATTTATAATATAAAAATCGAAAATAATTGTTTTTTTTTTAATAAAAATTGCAAACAAAAATTTATTTTCAAATTTTAGTCTCGGTGAAAACAGAAATCGATTGGTATGTATCACTTAATTGTAGAACATTTCGTTCATAGTGAATTTTTTCATGACAATTTTCATCAATAACTGTTATAGTCGGTCCCTGTTTTTCATTATATAAATGAGTGCAAATTTAAAAAAAAAATATCGATTTTGAATACTTAATTTAAAGTATTCTGGCCATAATTTTTTCAGCCAACTCACTTGCGAAATATTTGCTAACTAAATAGATTTCATCCATTAAACCGATGCGTGAAGGTCATGCCCTATTCGAATCTTCTACTATAATTTTTTTTTTAAATTCATATGAACTTCGCACAGTTTAGTGCCCCTAGAAAAGAAAAAGGTTGATTTCCCAGAGTTCAACTGAATTAGTAAATTGGCCAAATTAAATAATAATATTTTACTTGATTTATATGTATAAACTTGTTTAGTACTATATTACATCCTTTCATCAATTTATAGATTGATTTGTATGCAAAACATATTGAAATATGCTGTGGATCTGAGTAAAGTCCCCGATCCCTCTCCCCTCTCATCGGGCCTGGATACAGGTACATATATTTTTGTATCTTTTTCAAACTAAGTTGAGCTTGCATAAATCTCAGACTGAAACACAGTGGGGCACTTGGGCTTTTGAAGTGAATCCGCTTGGGATCCATCTACTTAAATGCTGTAGGAGGAATGGAAATCCTTATGATTTGTTAACACGTCCACAGTTAAGAGTGTGTTGACCAAGCAGGAATACCAAAAAGTCACCTATTTGGTTCGTGTGACTTTGTTCGGAGTTTAATCAAGACGTGTCAAAGAACCAATATAAGTTTTGTACGCCACAGTTGGTTTTGTAGGTTTTCAGCGAAGCTCGAAGCGCAGCCCCCTCCTCATGGTGGGCTCTAAATAACTCTCTTTGGCAATGCAAATTGCAACTAAACTAGGAGCTGCACCAGATTTAAAGAATTGGTCCCATACGAAGGCAATGACGATGGTAATTGATCATTACTTGCGACAGTGTGCGCACAAATTTTCCCCTCGAGGCACAAAGGGTTGGAGCGAGGGGGGCACCGTAGTTGGAAAACATTCTAAGATCCGTCATTGTCAGTCTATAGTTTATCAAAATCAGGAAAAAGGCAAAATAGCGATGCACCAACACCCATATAAATTTAAAATTTTTGTATTAAAACATTAAAACTTGAGGTCCTAAATTCGAATAAAAGATATTGCTCGATTTCCAAACAAAATTATTGGGGCATTTGTTGGTATGTATGGGCATATTTTGCGGGTTGTTCATCGGCTAGTCACCAGATTTTCGGCGAATGGACTCTTTTAAATAACTCACATCAATAAGCGAATTTATTAACTTAAATTTCTTCAATACAAAATTTAATATTTTATTTATGAAAATTGGAAAAGTGGTGTATAACACTTCCAGTGCCATATTGGCATACTCTTGTCACGCCTCTATAGTCAACTAAGTGTCAATACCTTCTCGTCTTTATTTACTTACATATGTATATACATGTGTGTGTTTGTATAAAAATATATTTCGATATGTATTTATTTAAACCCATATGGGTTTCATAGCTGTAATGTACTGAATAATGACAAATGCTGTCTGTCGCATTTCTCCTTCAAGGCTTCTTTATTTACTTATTATCACATTGCTCGACCTGAGAGTGAATAAAATCAGCGGATTGTTAAATTACAAAACTTGTTAATTTCACAATAAATGTATTTGCTTTGCATATTAAGACAATAAGTAATGTATGTACTATGCAACAATGCGCACATCATTCAGTTACAATGAACAGTGAAAACAAAAAATTTGCGTACGCACCGTTAACTTTCGGTTACTCAAGGCTTCTCATTGTACATATGTACATAGTATGTACATGTAAGTTAGTATGTATGCTGGAGGTCATATTAAAATTTACATTGTTTA